TAGCTGTAGCTAGCTGCAGCTAGCTGTAGCTAGCTGCAGCTAGCTGTAACTAGCCGTAGGTGGCTGTAGGTAGCAGCAGTTATCTGCAGCTAGCTGCGGGTAGCTGTAGCTAGCTGTGGCTAGCTGTAGCTAGCTGTGGCTAGCTGTTGTAGCCAGCTGTAGTTGGCTGCAGCTGGCTTGCTGCGGAAGTAGGCACTTGCTGGTTAGCCGCAGCTGCAGCAGCAGCAGCAGCAGCAGTTGCGGAAATAGCAGCTGCAGCTCTAGCAGCAGGAGCCGCAGCTTCTCAACAGCAGCAGCAGGGGCAACTGGTTCAGACAGGGAGGAGGCGGCCAGCGCTGAAATGGTTCTTTTACTGAAAATTAAAAAAATAAAAATAAATAAATTAAAAATAAAAAGATTTAATGAATTAAAGTTGGAAGTTCGGTGGCGAGCAGCAGCTGTACGTACACCCCAACAACCACCCACCGCTGCTGCGGTGGGGCCCCCCCGTGTCTGCTGCCTGGGGCCCCCCAACAGCAAATAAAAGAGTTTTTGCCATTTAAACCCTTTAATAAATCGAATTTAAAGATTTTTATTCAAAAAATAATTAAAAACGCAGCCACAAAGACCCCAGTTCACCCCCTGAACGCCTGCTGCATGCGCCGCCGCCGGTGCCGACGAGGAGGGTTTAGGGTTTAGGGTTTAGGGTTTAGGGTTTTGAAATTGCAAAAGCCGCAGGCTACGGACTCACAGCTGCCTGTGGGACTGTGCGGCTGCGTGTGGGCGTCTCGCGCACCCAACACAACCCCAAACCCCAAACACTAAACCCTAAACCCTAAACCCTAAACCCTAAACACTCGCTCCTCAACAGCAGCAACCATGGCAGACATTCGAAGTTTTTTTGCCCCCGAAGGCGTCGTGGCTAGCCAGGGGAAGGACATCAGCAGCAGCAAGAGCAGCAAGAGCAGCAAGAGCAGCAGCACGAAGAGCAGCAGCAGCAGCAGCAGCAACAGCAGCAGCACGAGCAAACCCGCCGCTTCGAAGGCCCCAAAAAAGGCAGCAGCAGCAGAACAGCTGCGGGATAAGAAGAAGACAGCAGCGGCAGCAGCAACAGCAGCAGCAGCAGCAAAGAAAGGCCGCCGCGCCTCCGACACCCCTCAGCAGCGAGGCCGGGGAAAGCGGGCCCGCAGCAGCAGCAGCAGCAGCAGCAGCGAAAGTGGAAGCAGTGAGGAAGCGAGTGAAGCCACCGTAGTGCAGAGCAGCAGCAGCAGCAGCAGCAGCAGCAGCGATGAGGAGACATTCAGCCCCCCCAAAGCCACCAAGCCTCGCAAGTACGTTCCTGTCGCTCCCTTAAGTGCGCTGCTGCTGCTGCTGCTGCTGCTGCTGCTGACTTTGCTGCTTCAAGTTTTGCTTCTGATGCAGAACGGGGCGGCTGCGCCGTGTGGTGCTGTCGGACAGCGAAGAGGAGAATTCAGCTGCGGAGGGCGCCAAGAGCAGCAGCAACAAAGAGCAGCAGCAGCAGCAGCAGCAGCAGCAGCAGCAGCAGCAGAAGCAGTCCAAGAAGACCGGCACCCGCTGTGTGGTTTTGGAGCCCGGAGAAACTGACAGCGACGAAGAGACAAAGAAGAGCAGCAGCAAAGTCCCCAAGGTGACCCTGGACAGGTTTCTTAAGCCTGCTGCTGCTGCTGCTGGAAACAGCAAGCAGCAGCAGCAGCAGCAGCAGCAGCAGCAGCGGAGTAAGCCACAGAGGGTCGAGGTCGACGTCGACTCCTTCTTTGCTGCTGCTGTCAGCAAGGAAATGCGGAAAACCAAAAAGCCGTTTCCTGCTGCTTCTGCTGCTGCTGCTGCTGCTGCTGCTGCTGCTGACGCCGAGGCAAAGGAGGGGGGGGGAGG